ATGAGAGTAACAAAAATTTAGTTCAACATTTTAGTTTTTTCTATTGTTAGTGACGTTTTTTCTACAAAGGAAGAGTAAAATTGTTGAAAAGATTTTGTTACGCCAAAGAAATTTAATTTCTAACGCGTGTATAAGTACACACACGATTTTTTCATATTTTCTTTCTTCCCGATTCTTCCTCAACTTTGAACCTCAAAATCTTATTCTTCAGTAGGTAATATAGCTCTGCCTTAATAATATCTTTTAAACAGTTATGTTGTTTTTATTTTGAATGTGTATCAGTGGAACAATTGCTTAGATTGTCAATTAACAAGATTTCTGAGAATGACTAGTTTTTATTGATAGTTAGGATAGTTGTTTTTTTTTAAGACTGCCTGGAGTGGAAATATCATAAATATTAGAAATTTATCTTAAACATAACTTAAAACAAAATCAGGTTGCAGCGCGAATTCGAATCGAAAAACGACCTGCACTCTTTTGGCAGTGTAGGCTACTTACTTCTAAACCACAGGAACACTTATGGGGAGTACATTTGGGCACTCCTAAGCGGAGGCTGATGGCATTGCGAAGTGATTCAGGGTCTAAACGGGTGCCAGTGTTTGGCGAAGGATAAGCATTCTTTCATTAGTTTTAAAAATATCTATGGACCGCTGCTAGTAAGTAAATACAAAAATATAATGCAACTATTCTACAGTCGACTGTCGATTTTAAGTTTTGAAAAATCTGCATACAATATATGATCCTTGTCATATATTGTTTCTAATATAAGGAAGTGATCTAGTTATAATGTCATTGCAATATCCGGTGTACAATTTAAACGCTGAGGCGATAAATTAAAACTAAATGTGGCAGCATTCGGTGTTACGGAGTTCTACAATTTCCGGAAAAACAATTGATTCCCGTTAGGCACAGAAGACACCTTGCCTGCACACGTAAATTATACATTACTACGGCCTAAAACTGGATAAATACTCAATAAGAATAAAGACTCCTAAAGGCCGGCAACGCACTTACGAGCCTTCTGGCAATGCGTGTATCACTTAACACCAGATGAGCCTCCTGCCCATTTGCCCCCTGTTACATGAAAAATAAAAATCTACGCCAAAAATTAACAACAATTATTATCCAATAGGCAGATAAGAAATCCCAATATTTAAATCATACAATGGAACTTTTAATAGATTTTTTAAATAATGTTGTATTCTATCTAGAATAGGAATCGCTCTAGTCTATGACTTAGCTAATTCTATTATTAGCTTACACAAACAGGAAGGAGTTTTTATTGCACGTTCACAGACTATTGTGATAAACGATTCTTTATTTGCTTTCTCTTAATCACTAGTTTTTCTACGACTATAAATAGAAGTGCTGGTGACATAGTTTTACAAATAGCTTTGATATTTTAATTTACAATTATAATAACAACAGTAATACTATTAAATAAAAGATTCAGGTGATTTAACGTATCAGCATGGCAGTATAATAAGGAAAAGCATACACCAATTTTTTTAAATTTATATCCCGGATAAAGTGCTCTCAAAAGGCCCGCAACGCACTTGCGAGCCTTCTCTCAAAGTGAGTGTCCAAGGGCGGTGGTATCACTTAACATCAGATGAGCCTCCTACCCGTTTGCCCCCTGTTATACTATAAAACAAGTGCCATAAAACCCTGACGAGGTATGGGACGGATACATTTCTGTGCCTTTTATTTATCGTTTTCCTTTGCAAATAAGTTAGCAATATCCCAGGCTAGTGAAATTTCCCCGCATATGTGTTAATTGCAATATATCCATCGGTGTCGGTTCGTATGGACGGCTAATAGTCCATTGAAATGTTACAATTTGAGGGCCAAACTGAACATTTGTTAGAGGACGCAATTTTATTTATGGGACCTGTAGGGGGGGTCAATACAAGCTTAACCTCAAGTTTGTGGGGTTGTCGTGCTTGTCCCCCGGCCGCCATCTTGGAAAAAGGGGTCCAAAAACCACGTTTTTGGCTATATCTCCTTAACTATCCATCGTACATAAAACTTGTAAAGCCACATTTTGTAGCAAATCGCTCGATTATGTCTATGTAACTTTTTATCTACGATTATGTCTATGTAACTTTTTATCATAAATCCAAAATTCAAAAAGTTTGTAAAAATAATTAGAATTTTAGATTATAGATCGAGTAAAGCGGCTGTTAGTGATTGTAAGCAGTGGTTATAAACATTATGTATGTGCACGCCGCGACGTCCGCACCGCACCTCTCATCGAGGACACACGTTGGTTGCCAAATTTATAACTTCTATCCTGTTTTTTGGTGTCGGCTTGTTAGGGCGGCTTCGAATTAATAAATATATAAGACGCATATTTCTGTTCATGTAATAACATATATAGTAATAATACGTTACAACACCATAACGCATTTTATGTGGTAACTTTACCCAGTGACATTAGCTAATAAATTACGTTATTAATTTTGTAATTTCATGACACATTTCACACGTTTCATCTCTAAAATAAGTGACAGTTAGTTTACACTTCGATACCTTAAACAGGCATATAGTAAATAAATAGGTTACTTGATTTCCTCCAGGCAATCCTAGTATAAAAAAAGACATACCTACTGAGGTAAAGTAGTATTAATAATTAACAAAATGGAATAATTAATATTTTACATATGCATGAATGTAGTGTGAAAGCCAGCCTAGCTACTTCCAGAAGCTCAGAAGTTTCCTAGGCACCCTCGCAAGCTTCACGGAGCGACCTCACAGCTCCGAGAGTTTCTGTTCGTTGGGAAGCCACAGCCACGCATTCCAGAACCACGGGGGTGACTGATTCCTCTGCTGTCTTTTACATATTAAAGAAGTACACTTAATCTAATTTAAACTCGTTTGATTTAGTTTGTACTCGAAGCATGGTCACGTTTATTCACATGACACAGTCAATCTCTGCGTTAGTGTATGATGTATTTTCAATAATATTATAGTTGATAAAAAGCAGTGTTTGCAATTCATTGATGTTTATAAATCAGCGCTACAACCTATTTTTAGGACTGGGCCTCAGATTTCTATACAAGAATCTGTTACAAGATCATTTGTCAATCTAAAGGGCAAGTAGGTGATCAGCCTCCTGTGCCACACGCCGTCGACTTTTTGGTTCTAAGGCAAGCCCGTTACCTCACGATGTTTTCCTTCACAGTTCGAGCGAATGTTAAATGCACATATAGAAAGAAAGTCCATTGGTGCACAGCTGGGGATCGAACGTACGACCTCAGGGATGAGAGTCGCACGCTGAAGCCACTAGGCCAACACTGCTCAATGTTCATAAATACATATGAATATATTCATGATCAACTAGAAATATAGATCGTTTTCTCCAATTTGCAAAGTTGATGTATCTATTTGATAAAACAACATTCTTATTTGAAACTTTAATCCTGATTTCTCTGTATCTTTTCAATTGAATTTGAAAATATAACCGCCCGTACAATGCCATTCAAATTTAACATTTCATTCCGTCTTACTATCCTTTTCTATCAACAACGCCTCCACGATTTTCAGATGTGTCATGTATCTATGAATTGAATAACAGGTTAACCTTTTCTTCCATTATTTCATCCCCAATAACATTTCATATCAAAATATAATTTAAAGTCAACGTACACTTATGAACGAGCATGAATTTTAAAAGAAAAATACTTTTACTGCAACTAAACAAAAATTTTCAAATCTTGCTGCAATTTACATTATATCGCTAAAAGACCCGATCGATATTTACATTTTAAATTCGGTCCAATGTCAACATTTAAAATTAAGATAAACGTTCACCCAAATAAACACATGACGTTTGAAAGTAAGTGAAAGTGCACCGGCAGCGTCCATGTTTTGTCTATAAAATTACCTTAATTGCTCGTTTTACGAGATTCTGATTGAGAAATTAACAGCTATTGAGTATTTATTATAGTAATACTATTAGACACAAACCTTTATTAATAACAATTAACTTATATAGCATGTTTCATAGATCTTTCTTTATAGGCAAGAAACGAAATCTATGTTATTCCGATTTCTGATCACTCAAATCACGTCAAATGCTTGTGCTAGTACTCTGTAACTCTATAGCAATCCCAATTTTGATATAGTTTCAATATTCGTACTGCTGACGCCACCTTAGGATTGCGCGTAATAAAAACCCCACGTTAAAGTGGGCATCACTATTGCTATTGGAGTTCCAGCGCTGTTTCCTTCTTCACGGAAAATACCAGGCAGCTAGAAGTTGAGTTCGAAATCTAATGATTGGGTATTTATACTTACTTATATTTACTTCTACGCGGTCGTGTAATATCTAATGTGTTAACGTTATGGTCATTGATTTTCCCATACGAATTTCTGATGCTGTAATAGAGAATGTTTAATTGTTAACTGACCATAAGTAATTTGAGTATTGCTTTACTGATCTAAAGCTTTATTGTTTGAAAGTTTGATTTATTTTGATCGAATCGATTGGACAACCGTCTTAAATTTGGTACCGATTAATAACGTTTTCACTTTTTTATTAAAATATCAAAATTTATCAGACATTTAACCAGTTTAAACATGAGCTATATTTAGTATATCTTGGCTAATGCTCTAATTTGTGGCATTTTTTAAATTAAGTGTATCTAAATTATTCAAAATTCAAAAATCTTTTATTCACAAAATGTACACTTATTAACGTCAAAAAATAAATATGTATGTAAAGATTCTAATTTTACATTTACTGCCAGTTCTCAAATCAAGGGCGTAGAACGGAAGAGAAGAACTGGCAATAAACTCTCCGCCACTCTTTTTAATCGCCTAATTTATTTTTAATAATGCTATTGTGCCTAACTTGTAATATTACTTTAAAACTAATCGCATATACAATTATACAATACACGCATGAATACATTATTTATATCTAATTACTGAAGATTTTTACTTAAGATGAGACGAGAGATTAGATATTATTAAAGCTTTTCTTTTTCAGATCGACAATGACCGTCAAGAAATCGAATCGATGTGGAGGTTGGGCAGCAATCGTCGCAAGACAGAAATTGCATAATGCGAAACAAGAGTTAGATGTTGTTAACATAAATAAACAGACAACACATGATGATTACAACACAATCGTTGGGTTCAACGAGAAAGACCAATTACAATTACGAACTAGAGAAGAGGCAATTGAAGATGACAAACAAAAACTTATCAAAGATTACAATTTCAAAACGAATAAATATGAGAATATCGCCATTGATGACATTATTACATGCGTCAATATTGAAAATTTCCCGAATTGCGAAAACACTCTAGTCTTCTACGTAAATAAAAATATAAATAAAGAAGCTATAGCGCTCAAATTTGAAAATGAGCAAGACTTTAAAAGAATATACTTCACATATAAATACTTTAAAATGCGGAATAGGCTTACTACAAATTACACAAGCAGTGATAGCCTCTTTTCAAAAAAGAATCTAAAAAATAGAAAAAACAGCATGGAGGACTATGGATTTTTTGATAAAAAGCTTGAATATGACGTGAAACAGATAGAGCATGATGGGGTCACCCATATATCAGTTCAACAAAAAGGCTTCAATTCAAAATATGACCAACCCTTAAGTTTAATTGGTATAAGAAACGATGTTGACGCTGGTGAAATAGATAGTATAATATACACTGATATAGAAATTCCAGCAAAGCCTCAAAAGAAAAAGTTATTTAATAAGAAAGCTAAGGCTCCATCACCTCCAATACTAACAAAAGAAACGCCGAAGGTATTAAAAGGCGAATTTGTTAGAGTGAACGTCGACAGATCACCAGATGTTGTTCCTAAAGATTTTAAACAGAATAAAATTCCTGATATCCTTATATTTAGGGATAAGTCAAAACGAGGCAGTCCGACAAGTAATCTGTGGTCTACAAATAAAGGTAAGCATATATTGAAATGGTAATTAATAATTTACTTTTAATATATAGGTTCTGTTGCAAAATTCGGGAATCAAAGAATTTTTTGGTGAATATTTCAAATTTAAAAAAAATTTTAAGGATGGGTGAACATTACAAACCTCCTTACACTTCTAAAAGTAAATAAATTAAAAATAAACTATGTCATGTATATGTAATGTAAATGAGGAATAGGTTTCTTACAAAAACGTTTTATAAGTATCATAAATTTCTCATCTTGATTAATTTAGTACGTAATGCTGGCTCATGTTTCCGTATTGCTGTTATACAATTGCATAATGCTCTATGTTTTATGGTACTTGTATATTATAGTACTATTTTATTGACCTTTGTATCATACATAATTCGCTTCCCGCTTTTCATCAAAAAGCTCTCAGCCGCTCGTACGCCACAAGCATTTCTGATATTTATGAAAATATCGTTCATTATGATTCTATACTAAACGATACTTGTATAGTTAATGATGAGCAGGCGTACAGGGCCGCGAATGTAAAGCGATTTGTACCCAAGGCCTTTGCTGACCGTAAACTCTTGCGCAACTCCGGTCATTCACTTAGTCCATGCATCTTTACAAATCAATTTGCAATTTGTCAACATCGTTATGGTTCTTGTAGAAATTTGTAAATTTACAAGTAGATTTGACAAAATATCAAATATACATTAATAATGTAACAGCGACAATATTTATGGGTCAGGATTTGAAATATATAATTAGTTTAAAAAACCAAATAAACCAGTGGCGCGACTAGGTCTCAGATATCTGTATCAGTTTCATGATCATTTGTCAATCTAATAGGCAAGTAGGTGATCAGCCTCCTGTGCCTGACACGCGCCGTCTACCTTTAGGTCTAAGGCAAGCCGGTTTCCCCACGATGTTTTCCTTCACCGTTCGAGCGAATGTTAAATGCGCATATAGACCGAAAGTCCATCGGCTCACAGCCGAGGATCGAACCTACGATCGTAGGGATGAGAGTCGCACGCTGAAGCGATTAGGCCAACTTTACCCTTTAGTTTAGAAATAAATAATAATTTAATGGGGCAAAATTAGGTACCTTCAAAAAAACAACACTCTTAAATGGGCTCAAATTTGACTGTCACCGGCAACCTTATTTTTAATAAGCCCCATATATTTTACAGCATCCAACTCATATAAAACAAAATATAATAAAACGATTATAAATCAAATTACAAACCTTTATTCACAAAGATACATACACAATCCTTACAATACTAAGCCAATACGATATAAGATACACAATATAATATATAACATGATAGTGCAACTAAATTGCTAATTGCAGTTTTCAATTATAATTTTATTTGATAGACTTGTCTTAATGGATCTAACATGAGCGTTTTCTCCCAAAGTTTTATTTCGCTCATAAAGAATAGTTTATTGCATTAAAACATATATGTGTACTTATGTACACGCGTTAGAAGTTATACTTCTTTGGCGTAACAAGATAAAAATCTTTTTTATCTTTCGCCTTATTCTACGTTTGTAGAAAAAACGACCCTAGCAATAGAAAAAAGGTATTTAATACATTGAAAGGTTTATTATAACGCATTATCTAGATAAATAAAGTTTATTTAAATATCACAAAAATATTTCTACATAAATAAAGAAATGGACATTTTTTATTTTAAAATGTCGACTGTGCTAACTTCAGGGTGTTGGTTTTTTCATGACGGTGTGCGCGCGCATCGTACAAATTTACTCATTTACTTGCCCTAACGCGCCAAAAGAAGTATAACTTCATTTACTTAAAATCCATTGATTTATGGGGTTGGATCGTTCGACCTTATTGAGAATTTAAAGCGGGTGGAACAGTAATATTCGTCACTCCTTAATACCAAGCCCTTTCGGAGAACACAATCATGTATTGGGAAAGAAGCCTATTGCGTATGTCAGGCTAACAAGCTTGTTATAAAATCATAATATTTGAGTTGCCGCTCGGATTGCGAATCTCTATGACATACATTGCGACGTGACATAATGTTGTTCTAAAGAAATTCGGTACCACTGACAGCTGAACTCCTTACTCAGTGACGTCCGTACTCTAATGGTATATTAGTAATATGTAGAAACGATTCAGCTACTTATACCCAGTTAGTTACTGATAATGTAAAAAGTTAAATTAATTTTTGAAGTTATACTTCTTTAGGCGCGTTATGAAAAATTGATGAGAGTGAAATTTTACGATGCACGCGCACCGTGATACAAATTTAACAGAATGAAGTTGCCCACGAAAGATGCTACGGCATTGGACATAATTTAAAAACAACATTCGAATAATAATAGAATTTATGTTACACTTAATGTAAAAGAATAATAATAAATATTTACTTATTTAATTTTTCAAATGTAAGCTGAACTTTATTAACTATAATGACCTCTTTTCCAGTCTTTGATTATTAAATTGTAATTAATTATTTGCATGCAATCAAAAACTATTTTTAATAATGCCAAAGAAGTATAACTTCTTACGCGCGTATGTAAGTACACGCACCCTTTTTTTTAAATAATTTTTTGCCCGCAGTTGGATGATCAGTGAACTTATTAGCTGTAAGTAATTGTTAAATTTTAATACACGAAGTTACGTTGTTTAGTTGACTCGGTAACGTTAGGTATTTTCACCTCTAAAAACAGAACTAATATAAAGTCGATAGGCGTCCATTTTCAAGGCACTCGCATTTTGATAGATTAAAAGAACGAAGGATATTTTGGCAAACACCGATTCACAAAAATATCATATAACTCGCCCCTACAGAGGAGCTTATATATTAGTATATTGGGGTACTGTTAAATATTATTTTTGTATATAATACCTCAAGTATTCATCTCAGCAACGGTGGTAAATCTAGTCATATTTTGTCAATATTTTACAACTAAATTGTAGAACCAATATTTTTTAATTACCATTGAATATCCTTGACCAAAAAAACTAATGTTTGTACGATTAATTTGTCAGCAAACACATTAATTGCTAATAGAACCAGTTGAAAGATTTGTTTTTATTCCGCATAATTATGTTTAAATATGGCCCTGATATAAAAATATTCATTCAGCTCGCTCCAGTTCTCTTAGGGCCCTCATAGGTCGCACTAGGCATTCTAAGAGGCATACGACTGTCAACGAAATTTTTAAGATGCATTTACCATATTTGGCCTTTGGTATACAACTTTGGTTTAATAGTTGAATTTAAATGTACCTTTGATGTGAGAGAATTGTGCATGCGATCGTGTCCTAACAATAAGAGGAGAAAAACAAATCACGATTGAATTTCGAACCTTATAGCCCAGCGACGTTTGCGATAACGCTTTACCACGAGGCCCTCTACTCACAAGTTCTAAAATACTAATTGCAATTGTTACGAGTCAATGAAAATCTATAACTGACAAATGTGTATAAATTCAAACATAACAGTTCAGCTAATGGCAGCGTAAGTTGCAATAATTTCGTATCTAACTACGTTTGAGATCACATAAAGAAACGGAAAATATGAACGCAGTCCCTACATAATTATTCGTGTCTTCCAAACAATTTTTTTTTCTCTCTAATATCGTCGCTGTAGAATGATAACCTAGTATATCCAGTAAATCAAACATAACAGGAAACGAAAACCATGTTTCATTTCGTCAATGTTAAAATATTATTATGCGTTTTTGTCCATAGTTTTAGATGGTAAATTTGACTTATTTATTAATAACATAAATACTTCATGATTATACCAGTTAAATGACATAAGAGTCTAAGAATAAAAAAATTATGTTTTTTGACATACAAAGTTATATTTGTGACGACATATTTTTAGGGATATATTTTATGATGTGTTTTTTCGGCGGTAAATAACGATACATTTTGGATTACTCCGAAGTTCAATACAATATACACCAAATGTGGTTTCAAAGTTTAGCACGCAGATATTTTGTAGGACATAAAATTTCCCCATTGACAGTTGACAGTCTGTGTATGTTGACACAGATACGCATTTAACAAAAGACTATTAATTTTATGACATCTTACCTGCGTTTGCTTTTGCAAAATCCTTAACACTTGTTAATATTACATCTGTTGTTCAGGTTACACTTGGTTAATTTGCTGTTTAATAAGGCAGCTAAGCGCGCATGATTCACATGTCTAAATATAATACACACAATACAATTATATACTAAACTATCTTCAAATTCGAGGACTGATTACCAACTGAAACTAAAATAATCAATCGAGTCGTTTTTCTCACTCAGTTTTTTAATACATATTTAAGGGGATTTTTTGTCAGTTAAAAAAAATTACCTTCAAAATTGACTGTAATAAACGTTACAAAGGTGTAATGTTGTCATTAGGTCACATCTGTTTTAAAACATACGATTTCGCGCCAGCAAATGTAAATTTAAATTATTTATTTTCACTTTAAACTTATAAGATTATTTGCAATTGTTTATTATCAATATTGACGAACTAGAAGTTTACAAGTAATGTGATTGCGCACTCGTAATAAAAAAGATTTAACAATTATATAAAAAGCAGTGTTGGCTTAGTGGCTTTAGCATAGCCAATCCCTGGGAAAACATCATAAGGAAACCAGCATGTGTAAATCCAAAAATTGTCTACCAACTTTTCTATGAATTAATAGAATCGAAGAAACGGATGCAATCTGAGGCCAAAATCCATATATGTAGTAATATTCGCCTAAAACTTATTAATTGTTAAAGTAAAACACATGTTTGTATTTTATTTATTTAAACCAGCGAGGCTGGTATATTTGAAATATAAAGTTTTTAATTTTACACAACATGCTGATTTGACATGGCTGATTGTGCGGGCTTGTTATTTATTTTATAAATTTTGTTGCAGTTAAAGCATTAATTATTATTATTACTAGCTGACCCGGCAAATGTTGTTTTGCCATGTATATTATTTCTAGGAAACATTTTTTTAGTTCAATAAAAATAACTAGCTA